CTGCACCCGAACTGAACTTCTTACCACTTGCAGACGCCCGCGTGAGGGAGAGCTGGCACTCAAGTTTGACTTAGTCAGTTCGGCCGTTCGACACTGGTATATTCAAGGAAGAAGACTACAGTCGCTGCTGCACGCAACTCGGTCCACAACCAAATCGCTCAACAAGGACCTCTACATCATTGAAGTGTGGAGCGCCATTGTTCGGGCCAAAGGATTCGATCCCAGCTTCAAATTCTGGTGGAACAACAGGCAACCTCGGCTACCAGACTCTCACTTTGAATGGCCCCTCAGCTGCCCTTCTTCTGCCTTGTTGGAGCTCATTTTTCAGGAATTTCAGCTACATTTCCGGTCATTTGAAGCCTGGCACTTTAGGCAGCGTACGGAGAGGTATGAGATGTTACATGAGAAGTCCACCCAGTGCCTTCATCGTGAGCTCAAAGGACAAAAAGCAGATGTTGTGCAACACCTGCACTTTGATGAAACCTTTGAGGTAGTGGATGTTGAACATGATAGAATACGCCTCAGCCAGCCAGTTTCGACTGGCCCTCACAGCTGTTGGCTGCATGAAGATGAATTCATATGTTTGACTGATTTTGGGGATGGAGTTTTCCAATCTGGGAAATTACTTGCCATTGGAGACACCGTCCTGCTACGCAATTTTGTCCCAGACACGGATGGCATCTGCTCACACTTGACTGCCCACTGGAAGCAAAAGTGGTGTCAGATATCGATGCAATCTCCAGAGCAGATCGGCAAGGTGCTTGACTTTGCCAAAGCTTTTCTTCCACGTCTGAACTTCAAGCTCTGCCCTCTGACGATCACTGACTGGGTGGATGCACTTCAAAGAATGAAAACTACTGCTGCGCGAGGAGCGGATGGGATCAGCAGGCAAGACATGTTGGCTATGTCCGCCAGGCACCTGGGATGGCTAGTGCAATTTTTCAACCAGCTCGAAGATGGATTGACTTCTTGGCCCAAGCAGATGCTAACCGGCTTAGTAACGTGCATCAGCAAGATCGACGAGCCTCATTTGCCGGATCATTACAGGCCCATTCACCTTTTTACGGTGGCGCACCGTATTTCCGACAACTTTTGCGTATGATGCTGCCATTTGTTCCGGTTGAACTGCACGGATTCATGCCAACTAAAGAAACGACACAAGTATGGTTTGAGATTCAGTGCTGGATCGAGTTGGCGCTGGCACAGGGCATAGACTGGCATGGCTGCTCGGCAGACATACAGAAATGCTTTAACTGTATTGAACGGCCAGCATACTTCTTGCTTGCCGAGCACCTGGGAACTCCGGAGGGGATCCGCCGACCTTGGCAAGATTTCCTGGCCTCCTTCGAACGGCGTTTCCAAGTTTTGGGGGCTGTCAGTTTGCCGATAAGCTCCACCAGGGGCTTTCCAGAAGGCTGCCCGCTGAGCATCCTTACCATGATACACATTGGATGGGGCTACCACATCTTCATGAAGTTCTTCCACCCAACGGTCCAGAGTCTTTCTTTCGTGGACAATTTGGATTTTCATGGGGGGCAGGAAACTGAAATTGAAGAAGCCGTGCAGGGCACACAAACCTGGTTCCTTGACTTTGGCCTCAGCCTGGATCTGTCTAAGACCTTCTACTGATCAACCAGCGCTCGCATTCGGCAAAATTGGATCGCTGAAGGACGCAAGGTCTTCACAGACACAAAGGAGTTGGGTGGCGCCATGACAATGTGCCGCTCGGTTCGCAACCGAGCTCTGAAAGCCAGGTCTGACGGTTTGGAGCTCAAATGGAAGCAATTGGCCAGATCGCTGGCGCCTACCTTTTACAAGATCCAGATGTTGGCAACTGTCTTTTGGCCGTTGGCTCTACATGGGGCCGCTGCCTGTCCTTTGGCGGAGGGACACCTCACATTGTTGAGGAGAGCTGCCATCAAGGCGGTGGGATTGAAATGTGCAGGAGCCAACTCCTATTTGCGCTTTCTGCTGCTCGACAAGACGGTGCAGGATCCCAGTTTTTGGCAACACCGGAATGCACTGCTCACCTTTCGAAGGATGCTTCAGAAGGTGCCTGAGGTTTTGCAGATCTGGCGGATTTACCATGGACACTTTCACTGCCCTTTTCTTCCTGGCCCTTACACCAAGCTGCTCAACTTCTTTAGCATGGTGGGCTGGTCAGTTATTGATCCGCCTTGGATTGCTGACCACCATGGCTACCTGCACAACCTGTCCACCCAGGACAAAAGTTACTTGCTAGCACGCCTTGAAGATGCATGGGCGCAGCATGTGGCTCGCAACGTTAAGCATGCACACATGAGTCAGCTGAACGGGATTGAGCTGGCACTTTCAAGACTTGACCATCATCAGCTGGATCATCGATCGCGCCTCCGGGTCTCGGCCATACAAACTGGCGCTTTTTTGTCGCCCAGCGAGCACAGTAAGTTTGATTGTGATAAGTCTTTTTTGTGTACCACTTGTTTTCAGCCCGACGTGTGCATTGGCATAGCTGCCCCAAGTACGAACACCTCCGTACGGAGCTAGGTTTTGATCCCACACAATTTGTTGCACTTCCAGACTGCACTCAATTTCACCTTTTGGTCCCCCAACTAGCTGAATCGCAGAGACTGCTGGCCTACCTGGAGAGCCTGCCCGACCATACTTTTGATTTCGAGAATGACACTGCTGATGTCGGCTCGATGCAGCATCTCTTCACGGATGGATCTTGTCACAGATTTGGCCTTTCAGTCTCGTTGGCCGCTTGGTCAGTGGTCAACGCTTCTTCGCATGAGCTGATTGTGGCGGCACCGCTGCATGGGGGCAAGCAAACGGCGCACAGAGCTGAACTCCAGGCACTACATGCCGCCATTGCCTGGGGAAACAAGGTGGATGCGCCCATATGCCTTTGGTCAGACTCACACAATAATGTGGCTTCGCTCGACCTTCTGATCAAGGGTGAACTGCTACAGCTGCCAGAACGAGAGCTAGATCTGTGGACGGAGATTGCTCTTGCACTGGAGCAGAGGCAGCACTTAGCCACATACACCAGATGGATCCCAGCACACCTGTGCTCTACGTCTCTGGTTGACGAATTTGAGACCTGGATTTCATACTGGAACGACCGGGCTGATCACTTTGCTGGCCAAGCCAACAGGCATCGAGACCCATTGTGCTTGAGCTTAGTCCGTGCCAAGGTAGCCAGGTATGAATACTATGATGGGGTCTTGAGGCAACTGAGAGCTTTCTACTTAGCTGTAGCTGATTTGAACGAGCCTTCACCGGCTAGAGCTTCGTCTACTGAGGCGCCTGAGGCTGTTCGCACGGTAGATGTAGATGCTTTCACGGATCTTTTGCCCATCGGGTGGAAAGCAATGCTTCATGGCTTGCCGCAGGCTTTTCCTGTCACCTTTTCATGCAGCTTAGTTGAACTTTTTTTGGACTGGGAGACTCAGGAGCCCTTACCTTACTGGGTGTCGGACGTTGAGTTGGTTTTTGTGTTGGCTAGCCTCGGTTTTTCGTTTCCATTGGGGGCTCCTGACGGATGGAAGCTCACACCCTTTTTTGATCTTTTTGCCAAGCCCCCGATTACTCAGTTGTTGAGGCCTCTTTCGACCACCCTTGACCTTGTGTGTGGGGGTTTGGGTCTTGCGGTTTTGAGGAGGAGTGATTTTGTTTGTCCTGAACTTGGCATTATCAAGAAAGGGGGTGCCACTTTGCTTGGGGTGCCTGCCACTTTGGCCAACAAGGCCAGGACGGCGGTGGCGAAGTTCACCAAAAGACGTCAGTTTCGAAGTGCGCAGGACTTCTCGCGTCCTCTCCCGGCCTTTTAGGAGCTTCTGACTTCGACAGGTGGCCGCTCCGCGCTGCTTCGCCGCGCGAGGGTCACAGGATGCGTTGTCCGATCAGTCCGCGATAAAATTGCATTTCGACTGCATTTTGGTCACCCCTTTTTGTTCGCTCTCCCAACACACTGTCAAAGCATGGCAAATGTCTTGCCCGCATTATGCTTGCGAGGGCTTCCCACAAATTGCAAGAAGCTAAGCTAAGGTAAGATATCCCTTACCCTGTTGCTGGCCTGCTGTGCTGTGCGCCTGCCAGGTGGCGTCTCTACCCGCGAGGGCGCAATGAAGGCCATAGCTGAGGTGGCCAGGACCTGTGACAGTGGAGTCAACAGCTTGGAGTGAGTGGTCACACTTCACAGTATTGATAGATGAAGAAGTAGAATGAAGCAAAATTCCACAACCAACGTTTCAACACTTTGAGCAACGAGGTAAACCATGGCTTTGATTTCGGAGAGCCTAATTTGAACATATTGCACCGATCTGAGGGCTCCACGGCCAGTGCAAGCAGCCATCGAGCCTCAGCTATAGCAAACTTTCAGATCCAAATAAATTGCTGCCACTTTGATCCAGTCTCCTCGTCTCGTCTCGATTCAACTACCCAATTGAGTTGTAATGAATTACTCTTGCACCCTGCTAAGTTTCTACAGATCTACAAATTATCATATACTTTTCGCCCCTGCGACATTCTTCAGCTTCGTAGGCCGAGACACCATTGGCCCTTCACCTCGTTGCCTCAAAGAGGGTGTGAGGCCAAGGGTCGTCTGCTTGAGCCAAGGAGGATCGACAAATCTTTCGAGTTCACAAAATCTTCAGCTTTCATTCGGGTGTCCTGTCATGTCTAGTAGGTTCGAGGCCATCGCTATTAGGGGGAGGCCATCTCTAGTTGGTTGGAGGCCACCTTTTGCATCCTTTTGCCGCATTTGCACTTGCTGATGTGAGAGGGCATCTGGGGAAAAGCATCTGCCTCTCAGAACCTGTTGAACGACAGAATTCCATCTACATACATCCTTGGGAGATTGGATTCGATACTGCGACTCAACGAGCCAGAAGTCGGGGCAGCTATGCTTCTGAAGGTAGATTGGTACCATTTTACAAGTGTGACAGCATGGCGTGATGGACATGCAAAGTTTGGCCACATTGGTTGCATGGCCACATTTCTCACTGGATGCGCGGCACCTAGACAAATAGAGCACGCACCTTCTTCAGAACCTGCAGCAATCATCCATGATGCTGCACCGTGGAACGAATGGCAACTAGTGGCTACAGGTCTCAGTGGTCTCTGAGCTGGACAATGCCACAAAGCAAAATTCAAAGAGTTCTGTGGCCACGGACCGTTTGTGAACACCATGTGGAATGTTCTGGGACACCCTTAGGACCCTCTGGGAACTTTCTGGGATGCTGGCCAAAATCATCAACATCCTGGCGTTGGTCTCAGTTCCCATTTCAGTGCCTATCCCAGTCTGGGTTTCAGCATCAACTGGACACAGCCTGATTCTGTTCGCGGGGCCAATATGCAATCGCGATGCAATGCTGAGCAAATACTTTGTTGCATATCGAGGGCAGCAACTCAGAACAAACACACCAGCTACCGATGCATGATGTCCTTGACTCATAATTTGTTCAAAACATGGTAGCCAGGTTCTGGTTTCTTCATCCGAAGGCACCGCCAACCCAATTGGCTTCAAGAAATCTTCACTTGCACACTCTAGCCAAGGGTCTTCAAAGCTGCGCTTAAGCGCCGAAGCCACGCTGCCCAAGGCTTTTCGGGTTCTGAGTTCTGAGTGTCAACCCAAAGGCTTGGAGTGTCCTGCACCATGGCTTCCAAAGCCCTGAGAGCACTAGCAGACATCATGGAAGATGCCTGGCAAGTCTCACGCACGAACATCATGGAATGCTCTTTGCTCAGCAAATCAGAAGTCTGAGGAGTTGGAACACCACTTAATAATTTTTCAGCATGTTCCTCAGCAGGTGTCTACAGAGTCTACATTGTCTACCTTGGATGGACATATTTATTTCAATCCTCACCAACTTGCTAATTTTAGCACAACAGCAATGATCTTGGGGCTCAACCCGACGGACCAAGTGGTGCTAGCACGTGTACTTTTGCGTACGCGTACCTCTAAACATCTCTAACCGACACAGCCAACACAAGGACAAAGTGCTTCTCAGATAAATCTCTAAATAGCAAAATAGACATAATTATATATTCATGCTTAGCTAGATGTGCTATTTTCTATCAATAACAAGTTTATATTTGATGATATTTGCTAAGGCGACGTACCCCAAATGATACCATTTCTAGTCTATTTTCCCACACTTGACTGCAGAATCGAGTCAAACTTGGCAACAGAGCCCTGCTGGTGGAGTTTTGTGTCGCCTCAAGTGCCATGACTTGGCCAACGCATTGGAACTTCTTCTATCTGGATAGGATGTTCCATGATGTTCCCAATTTTCCTCCGACAGATTCAACTTGAGTGAAAGTGCTGTGTGCACTTTGGAGACTTTAGAGGCCAAACAAAACATGTTACATTACATCATCTGGCAATGGTTCAACACATGGGATGGGGTTCTCAACTAGGAACATGTGCTTCGGTACAAGTACTTATCAGTATGAGGTCTACAAGTAGGAGATGATAGAACTTGTCAGACTCTGTCCCGACTTTTTGACACAGCCTTCCTAAGAGGTCTTGCACGTCTTAACACCTCTTGGAGACTGTTAGGCTCTGACAAGCGACGTTGAGGACAAGCTCTGACTATTTTGCCGTGAACGTCGCTCTGACTTCCTGGGGCCACGAACTGCAGCTTGGCCTGCTGACGGCAGTGGAAAGGATAGCAGCAGCCAGCAACCATACACGTCCGCTGTGCGGATATCTTGAGGTCATCTTGATGTCAGCACTGGAAACAAACAAAAGGATGCAGGATGCAGGATGCAGGCTGACAGTGCTTTTTCACCATGTAACATGCACACTACGAGTACTATTAATATTGATATATAATATTGTTCTTCACTCGATCGACCTTGCAAGCTGGCGCTGGCACGGTTGGTGCGGCTGCGTTCTCGAGCCGCCTCAGAAGGGCTCGCGCAGCCATCATGTTCCGCAATTTTTTTGATCCGCCATGCAGATTCCACAATGTCAAGTCGACGAATGTTCAATGATTCTGCAAATGCCACCAAAAATACCTAAGCAAACATCCCGGCCAAAGTCTATCGGTTGGCAAAGTTGGAACACCTGTCCCCACAGGCAAGGAAACAGTTCATCGAATACTCACAATGATCAGTGAGTCCCACGATAATATCATCTTTGGAGTGCCTGTAAAAGGCTCTGCCATCCTCCTTCAGCTGCTTCCTCTCACAAAGACGGGAGGAGGACTGAAAAAAGAGAAACCCTGTCGCCACTGTTGGCAGCTGTAGAATGGAACCACAAAGGCATTCTCATCTCAGGCAAGCAAAAAAAAATGTTCGGCGACATAAGTGTATCTTTGGTTTGGGCGTATTGTAATTTTCAAAGCCCAGCAGCAAAGCAACTGTGTCACAGTTTCATACAATGTATATCATTTGTCGAAACAATGACACGATTAACTTGACTGCCCTACTCAGTGCCAAACAAACAGCGATTCAACGAAGCTCTGGCTGGAGCAGTGATGTTCAATCACGTTCATCATGGCAAACAGTAATTGATGTTGATTGATGTTCCAAACAAAACCATCAAACAAAGCTGGGACTAGATGTCTAGGCCCCTAGGCCATTCACTCTCACCTCCAATCCTCTCCACCCGCCCCAGATCCAAGAAGGGGCCCAAGGAATCCCAGGCGAGCCACTGTGCCGCATCGGTTAACCCTTGATTCGGTGGCTCGCCAAGGACCTATAAACCACTTCATCATTTTTATAATTGGGATTTTCTTTAATGGAAAATACTATAAACATGAAGGTGACAAAGACCAAGAACCAGTATTTAATTTATTGAAGAAATATACTGTTCTAATTAAATGCTGGTGGTGTTCAGCTCGTAGCGCCCATGAAAGGATACCTCACTTTGCACCTTCTTCCCACCCTGAATAGACCCTACAACTCTCTCCCTGCAACAAAAAAAACATGGCAGTCTGTGGAACAAATTTCAGCGACTCATTGTGTGTTTCTGTGGTTCGTGTGTGTGGGCACAAGTCTTCTTTCATCTAATCTATTGGATGCATCTCCTGCGGCAAAGTACTCGCGGAGGCCCATGGCCGGAAGCCTCGCCGAATTTTGCCAACAAACGACGAAAAGGAATGACATGACCCTCAAAGAAAGCGAAAAAACACCCACCAAAATAGAACCCCAAATCCATCCCGTTTCTTGACATCAGTTTGGTGTCCTTGGACATAGTTTGCACATGTTTGCACTATATTTTGTAGTTGCCAGTGTTTGCAAATGACGATATATTTAATTCTTTTCATATTTGCTTCAGTCATTCCGAGATGAAAAACCTCACCATGTTGTGGAGTCTGTCACTCCTAGTCGTGTGATGTCCATCATCCTTGAACTCAGGGCCCGTGGCCTTGAGGGCCTGGGTATGCCGCAGTTGCCCCTGGAGGGCTGGGTTCAAGCAGCGGACCCCTTCTGACTGGGGCTGTCTTTTCTCCATTAACGTGTTAAGCATGTGCTGAAACAAATGCTTGCGCATGCTTGCAGCAATGTGGTCCACATGAACCTAGCTGAAACCGCAACTTTGGCCAATGTGGATACCCTGCTTCCAAATGAGAGCCGCAAAGGCCTCTTTGCTTGTTCCCAACAATCGGTATAATGATACTTTTCCCGCATCGTGATGAGGAAACCAAGCATTCACCTACTTCGAACACGGTCACTGACCATGCAGCGACCTTACTCTGAAACAAAGAAGCACTCCGCCTCGCGCAGACCGACCGCGTGCAGAGAGGTGCGCCTCATCACTCATATCATCGGCATCGTATCGTTCTAGCTTTGTCTTGACTCGAAGAAATGAAAGCAGCCGCCCTGCGATGCAGCGAGCAAAAAGCACAACATCCTGCTCATATCTTTTGAGTTACATGTAGTACCGCGGCATACCAAGTGCACCTGCAGCAAATGCAGCTTTCCTCCTTTCATCAATTCCATCATCTCAGGTGCCCCTCTCCGGGGCACGCATTTCTTTTTGGCTGTTGTCATGGCTTGCTCTAGGGCCTCTAGGGTGTAAAGAGGGCCCCGACAGCTGAGAGGCGTGACAAGAAGACTTACCATCCATCGTAATCAGTTGACTCCAAGCTTCCCCGCAGTCGACGCAGGCGCCTCAACAAAGAAAAAAAGATGTCCTTTGAACATGGATTCCCTTTGTACGGATAGCGATCATGGAAAACCTATCCATCTTTCGCCCTGCGGCTGGATGGTCAGTAAGCTCCACCACTCCAAGTTTAGGTCTTCGCAAAGCTCCAAAGGCACTTTTTCGGGACCCAAACTGGAGACCGCAGCAGCTGCGTCTCAAAGTAGGGAGATCGATCTCTCTCAAGACATCTATATCTATATATTATGTAATACTTTGTGTATATAATATATATATATAGTTACATAGTTGTATGTACAATGTTATATAATATAGAAAGCAAATGAAACTGATGTGCAAAATCTCGCAACAAGCATCGTTTCAAGCACTTGCGGGACTCCTGAATCGCTACGTCTCCGCTCTTCCCCTCTTGGAACCCACACCACTCGTCGCCAAACGGGCGTTGATTGCGTTGTCGCCTTTCACACAGCAATGGCTGTTTCATGCTGTTCAGTAGTTACTTTGTTAATCTTTGTTATACTCATTTGACCATCCGCGCCACTCATTAGGGAATTTGGTGCCAAATGGATTGAACTCATCCAACTCTCAAGTGATCCTCTGGTTCATGATGCAACATTCATGCACATTCAAGGACAGGTGAACTTCAAAGCCCTGTGAAGTGTTGATATCTTGTGCCAAAGGGAGAACATCTTTGAAACCATAAATGGTTGGCCTGCACGGCTCTGGCGGTCTGTGCTCCCTCCGCAGTCACACGGGCTCTTGAGGCAACACCTAAGGTGTAACGAAGGCCTCGTCGTTTGTTTCTTCACACAAGCTATCCTCTGCTACTCTTCTTCTGAAACAGTTGATCTTGACATGTGAGATCATGTGAGTACTGCAGCCCAATCCAAATGGTCTGCTGGGACACCGCACTGGTTCCTTCCGGTGTCTGACCTCACCAACCAAAGCAAGGTGCACAAGGTACTGGCGTGCATGTGCTTTGGCCAAAGCAGCAAATAAAAGCAAACGAGAAAGGGGAAAACCAAGAAACATTTGCCTGCCCGGCAAACTGCTGGAGCAGAAGGCTGTGCCTTGCCGAAAGTGGCGCCAACTCTTGCTAGTCAAAGGTCTACGTCATGAGAAGACTCTCAGATCCAGCTCTCAGATCCAAGGGACGTTACTGTGACTGAAGTGGAACATACATACTGGAACTAGAGACAACACAGGCACTTCTTCTAGGTTGGAGGCCATCGCTATTATTAGGTTGGAGGAACCAAAGACAACACAAGCACTTTCCTTCGGCTACGGGGCCTTCAGCTCCGTTTTGTTGGTCCTGTTGCACCGTTTCAACGCTCTTTCTGAGGTCGCCGCTCGGGACACGGTCACCTGGACATGACGCTCTTCCTCGCCTTTGACCTTTTGGAACTAACTTTTGAGGAACACGACTTGTACGTAAAGGTGTCGAACAAAAAAGAGATTGAGGCAAGGAGGTGTTTGAGGGCCTGAAAGGGGCCCAAGTTGGCCCAAGCAGCTTCTTTTGTTTCAGAGTGTTTCAGTTCTTTTTACATTTCACGCCCCAATTCCAGTTTCGCAAGGGCAACATTTTTGGACTAAGGGTCCGCACTGGAATCGTCGACCTGCTCAAAATGGCTCATAAGAATGAGAAGAGTCACAACGAGCTGAGCATTTTTGGCAACTTTACTATTCCACTATTTGAGTGTTTGGGTGCCTATATTGGAGTACTTGCTGATGACCGCAAGTGGATGTAGGATGCTGTAGCTGTGAAAAGAAACGTTGAAGCCTCTGACAAATGAAATGAGGGCACAGCTTTTATCTAGTTATATACATATATAGCAAAATATATCTGAGACATGTTTTTAGGTCGTTCAAGCTTGCCTGCAGGGTCCAGCAGCTACCAATCTGCGGCAGGGTTGTAAAGGGTGGCTCTTTGAATTGTATTATCTGACCCCTCCTGGCCTCCACACCAGTACTGACGCAAACACAGTGTGCCCGGAAGAGAAACAAATTCACCAACTCGGAAGCATGAGGTCTAGCACACGGACATGAGTTACTATGAGCCAAATGGATCCAAATCGATGATGGTCCTGATTGGGAACCCAAATCGTAGAAAACCACTCTCGCTTTTTTCCTTGCCAGCGCCATCTCCTCCAAATCAGACCACTTTGCCTTAGATTGCGGTACATTGAAACCATGAACCCGGATGACAAACATTGTTGAGCATTCTTTCGGGAGAAACACCTTTTTCAAATAGTTGATAGTCTTCAATCTTGATAGTTTCATGTAGTTTTGCTTGTTTGCACAAAAGCAAAGGGGGGAGCTGCCACGACACCCCAGCACTTCTGGGTGGATACGGGTCCCAGGACTTGACATGTTTGGCCCAAGGATCATAGGCATGGTGTCTTCGCAGAACAATCCGCAAAGCGCGAGTAGTCTGCCTGCCAGGTCTATGACTCTTGGAGATGAACGCCCACAAATGCTCGATCTTTTTGGAGATGCTTAGGTTGCCTGCAAGCCTTCAGCCTGGTAGCTACACATGTAGCACAAGGGCAAAAAGAGTCACAGGCTCTATGCATGATACTTCTGTCAAATGCGTCAATTCAAAGGGCATGTCTGAGTATGAGTACATAAGAAGAGATGAAGGTATGGTATGTTTGTTGACCGATGTCAGTGAAATATCAAGCCTCAAGCAGGTTCTGCACACGGTCGACCATGAAGTTGCAAACATGAAGGACATATAACAACAAACGCAGAAACCACTTCTTTTTGGTGCCTGCGCCCCATCTGACAGCAGGTTGAGGGCTACTCGCATGACCTGCAACAGGACATTGGGTTGATGTGTCGAGACGGACAACATCCACTTGCCAGGTCCTGCCAGGTTACCAATAGGGGTACCAATAATAAGGTATAGGATCACTATTTCAGTTCAACCGCGCCCTTACCTTATCAAGCGCCAGCCACTACCTCCAAGCACCATGAACTGTCACGTTTCATGGTTCAAGGCTTACAAGCCTGCTTGTAGTTGACCATCATTCATAATCACACACCATCATTCCGAAAGGAACCTAGGGAAATAACAAAATGCTTTGCAATGGCAATCAAATAAACCCACGACACCTGGGTCCATGGGAGGTCCTCCTCCTGCTGCTCCCTTTCCCGTGCCTTCACCGGCAGTTCCTGATAGCCCTGCAACGCTGGACGGATCGATTTCACCGGATTCAGAAACCGTTTTGCCACCGATGTTGTGCTACTGTGGGGACAACAGGAAACATGACAAGACTCATCAGACCGACCTGAATTCCAAACACAATATGGTCCTTCAGGATCTATCAATTTCATCAAGTTTGTAGAAAACCAGCAGCAACATGCAACAAACCTATACTCACTGTTTGCAGAATTTCTCCACTTCGTGTTTTCACGGCGTAGATGGCACTCATCTGTATTTAAGTTTGCCATAGTTTTCAGGTAACATCCACCACCAAGGACATGGAGGACAACTCTTGACCATCTTGGAACAAGTTCATCGCCTTACTCTGTGGAGCTGTGATCTCATCGTGGTAGTAGTAGCATCCTGGCCTTGGGCTCCGGTCCATGGGCACCGGTCAAAGCACTGTCGCCAGGGAACATGGAGCTAGTGTTTGGAGTTGTGCCATCCTGTCATCTTGGAATACGCATCTCTGGGCAAACACCGTCTTGAGCTTCCTTGGATGCCCTGCGGTCTTTTGGTGTCGGTGCCTGCACTCAGGAGTGTGTGTGGCTGGAGGTGCTTCTTGGAGGGAAACAGCTCTCTGAAAACAGCTTGGTCATTTCGTTTCAACAGCTTGGAGCAAACCTGCACAAACCCAACAGACCATCCGAAACCATTTCCACCAAGCCATGCGCATAGCCATGCATAGCGCCTTGCTCTGTGAAATCTGCAAAGTCATCCAAGCCCTGTCCGCCCGCTGCAGCGCTGCACTGGAGTGCTTGAGTGATGAGGCTGGCACCTGGGCATGCTGGGCATGCATGGACCAATTGAAACTGCGAACTGGCCGAATCAGAACTGCGAACTCAGGACCCAAGAGTTCGAGTTGGCGCTGTGCCACACGATGAAACTACGATTCCCACAGCTTGGAACTAAAGGCTGGAAGTGTCACAACGACTTACTAGTAGCTCAAGACAACCTAGAGAAGAGAAGCAGTTCCTGAGACTTGGAAAAAGAAAAAAAAAGGAGACGAGGTAGGAAACCCCAAAACGCACTCCATCCCAACACCAACGTTGGATCCTCTCGTCAGACAAGGCACATCGACCGCTTTTCTTCACTTCCGACTTCACCGCTGGCATCACGATCAGCGGCTCGAAGCCTTGGCTTCCTCTCTCTAACCAACGAACCAAGCAATGTCCTTGCAGTCTCTGTCAACCTCACAGAAGTTGCAGGCAAGAGGCGCTCATTCGTCGCGATCTTACCTGCCAGTCTGTGGCAAAAGCATGTTCTCACGGTTGCGCACATCTACACATACATAGTGTTCGTTTGAGAAAGGCACCGGTTGGACCAAGTTAACCTCAGGACTATGCACCCTAACTACGGCAACTGCGAAACTTGAGCAATGTCGAAAAAACTTGACTGAATGAAGCAAAGTCAAAGCTACCGCCTCCCCTGTGGCCTCCTTCCTCCAAATGGGATACTTCGAAAGAGTATATCTTATATATATATATAGAGTATGTCAATGTAACGTCATGTCGCACTTGAATTGTGAGCATGTTCATTGTATCATCCTCCTTTCAAACTTAAAAATCTAGTAACTAGTACAGTGCTTTGCCACAAACTTGTGAAGTCTCCAGAGTCCTATGTGCTCTGAATTCGGACCACAAAGCACTGTCAACCGGCAAACAGCTAAGAACTTTCAAAAACTGGTCCAGTCAGATGAGAGGCATTATTTTTGCTTTAGGCATGTCCAGGCTATTGCCGAAGTGCTTAAGAAGAAGGAGAACTTGTGGAAAACTGGGAGAATCTCTCGTTTCATCCACAGCACTTTGTTGGCAAGGTACGATCCTCTGGGGTCGTGGTCGTAAGGGAGAAAACGACCATGCCTTTGACGAATTGCAAATAACCTGAAGCGATGGATCAATTTGAAAGGATCTGACTCTCTGCCTACAGCACCTGCAACCCAGGTTGCCACTGCTTGAGAAGCAACAAGCTGCATGGATCCTCCCCAGCATTCTATGGATGGAGTCTTTTATATATCACACATTTTGCTGTTGATGTAGTTACCCAGTTGCAGTATCCCCAAAAATGCTTTGTTAGATTTGAACTAAATCAGGTCAGTCATGGCCCTATGTGCCATGCGGTGAGCCAAGCAGCGAGTCTCCAGCTCTAGAGCAATTTGTGAATTGCCTCAGGAGTGAATCTCGCCGAAAAAATAATTTTCTTTTTGCGAAGATGTCTTGACATCTTCAAACCAATGAGGCCCCTTTTCAATCCTGTTCATCTGTGAAGGAACTGTTCACGCAGGAGCTGATCATGAGTGGATGCTCCGCGCTTCAACCTCTTCCGCCCGGATTCTTGGGCATCCGTGCCCAAGGCTGAAATGGTGAAGGCGCTCTTGTCACATTTGTCTGAGCAAAATCACAAGAGATAGCAAAGCTCATTTGCACGTGGTGTCTCGATATGCATGACGAAAACACCTCATTTGTGTACTAAGGCAATACAAAAGCATACAAAAAGCATCAAAAAGCTCTAATTTTGGCAACTGGTGCACTGCGCATGTATCTGCAAGCAAAACATCTGGAACACCAAAAAATTTGCTTGACCAAGGGTGGCTGGACTTCAATCCTCTTTTAAGCACGCAAAGCCATTCAAACGAGAAGTGCCTATGGTGCACGACAGGCTCTGATCTTCTGCTGGAAGAACAAACAATTGGGTCGGTTGCAGTCCAACAAACCCCTCAGGGCAAAATAAAGGCCGCACATGAAGTACGGGCTGGGTTGAATGGTGCGTTGTTACAACGCAATACATCATAATACCAAAGCCAAGAGGCGACTGCTCCATTCGTTGTCGGTCCACAAAGACTTTTCTCCATAGACCTGTCAAGTTCTCAAGTATCCATTTGTGGAATGGCATCACCTGTGACATTGCCTCTGTTATGGCATCCTCTGAATGTTCTTTTGTGCAATGGCCAGCTGTGCTGGGATTCCAGACAGGTTTTGGAGGCCGTGCCACCGCACAAGAGGAGACGTCAGAGGCGCATTCGTCAGATTTGACTTTCTGGCTGGGCCTAAGATCGCGCTCAATCTTTGGGCCTATTTCTCATGAAATGTGCATGGAGTCTTGGTCCTGAACTGGGGCATCTGTTGTAACGACAAAGTACATCTAAGGTCTTCCACTTATTGTTATCAAAGGATGTCTATTAGTACATACTTGCAAAATTCAGGTTAATAACAACATCTGCAACCAAGCCAAAGCAACATGAATCAAACTAAAGCCGAAATACATGTAGAGTGCCATGCCCGTCTTGACCTGAGAGGGTATTGAGGAAGGGTGTCTGAAAGAAGATGGGGAATTACTATTCGGTCGCTTTGGAACAAATCTTTAGCCCAACGACACTCACAAAGTCATAATGGAATGACTGCAGGGTGCAGCAAATAAGCAGCCTGGCCTGGCCTAACTTCAAGTAAAATGACCCAAACCATAATAGTGTGATCTCCCTGGCCTCATTCTCAACAGAATATATCATACATGTATAGTTTTGGGTGTGAGAGGGTCTGATCTGCCTAACAGCAACACTGCAACAACAGCCAACAACATCTTTTGCCAATGGCCCTCACCTGTGGTGTTTTTCACGAAATGGGATCACTCTTGCATGTGCCATGCAAGTTTGATGATTGCAGAGTGGACACGCCCTGGTACAACATGATTTCATCTT